TTGATGATGCATGGAGGGGATTGTAATCATTGCAATGAAACGAAATACGCTAGGATGAATGTAAACTATCTCCCACGTAAACTATCACATAATTCACAATAAAAACTTTTTTAAAAAGAATGTTATCCCCATCTCCTTTCACTAGTCCCATCTAGACAGGATGGAAACCACTCAGCGGTCTTATTAATCTTTTATATTGGATTTTCATGCCTAATAAATAGAAAGAAATCTTTAATTGAATTGTAAGTGTGTCCTAGATACAACATTCATCATCCACCTAACTATGGACTGCCTTCTTGATTCTGTCTCCTTCTTTTTTGGTTACACCTAGCCCTGAGTCTGGAGTCCTGGGGTGGCGGTGTAGGATAAACACTCAACCACAAGGTTGGTGATTCAAATTCACCAGCTGCTCCTTGGAAACCCTATACAGGGTCGCTATGAGTCGGAACCGACTTGAGGGCACTTAACAACAACAACAACAGCCCCGAGTCTGCTGATAGCTCTGCCTTAATTACTTTGTGCTGTTGTAACATGAACACCACAAGTGGGTAACTTTCAAGAACGGAAATATCTTGTTTTACAGTTTGCAGGTCGAAGTCCATAGCAGGGCATGGATGCTCGGGAAGGTCCTTTCCTGTCTCTAGCCCTGGGTCTTCCTGGGCATTCCTTTACCTAGGTTGTTCGCTACATGGTCTCTTCGCTTGCATGCGTGTCTGTCTCTGGATAGATTAATTGATATGAACAAAGAAAACTCTATTTCCAAGTACAGGGGTTAGGACTTCAGTATAGTTTGGGTGGGGGATAAAGGGAGGGGACCCAATTCAATCTACAGCACTCCCCTATGTCAAACCCACTCTTGCCTTGTGGTCTAGACGTCGGCGTTTGCTCTCTTTAGATCAACTCAGCTTTCCCTTAGCAAGTTGACACACTTCAGGTTTTTTCCTCTTTGGTTGAAGTATTAAGCAGGACACCTTGCTCTCATTTGCTAACATGCCAAGTCCTGCTTCAGATTGCTGACCTCATCAAGACTTGACTGGCCCAGTCTCAAGGATTCAGAGTCTCCCAAGTAAAGTTGGACACACTGCTTGGACTGACTGAGTGTGGTGAGAATACTGGAGATAGTCAAGGAAGGCTTCATATAGAGGACATGATCAAAACACTGTTGAAGCAATTTTTGATAAAGGAAACAAGGGTAAATTGCTACAATTTGATGAACTTGACCTCTACTCATGGATGTAGTAGCTCAAAATACCAACTGAGAGGGAAGGAGTCTTCACATCAAGGATCAATGCTATCCCCTCTTCATACAGGGTAGAAAGGGATGGGAAACTTAGACATTGGCTACCTAAAATGAGGGGCAATAAAGGCATGAAGTGACTGGCTTACAAGTTCTCAAGAGGGAGTTTAATTTAAGAGTGTGCAGAGAAAGATAGAGTCTCCACTGAATAGTTTTTATATTATCTAAATGGGTCTGGTAAAAAGAAATGAGGATAAGAGTTTTATGATTCAATAGTGAGTAATTGTTATCATCACTAACTGCGACTGTCACAAATGTAAAGGTAGAAGTTTTGTAACAAAGACAGGGAAGTACTTAATCGTACAGTCCAGAAACAGAGTACCCTAGGACCATCAGGGGAGAAGAGCACAAGTGGAATGTGGGGCCTTATCCAGAGAAGCAGTGACACCAAAGATGAAGGCAGAGATGGGGACATGGAGAGGGAGAGCAGCTGAGGACTGTAGATTCCTAGAAAGAGAGGGACTGAGAACTGGCATTCAGGAGGCAGACTTGCAGAATGTGCACTTTGGTGGTGCAAATTATTATATATGCCTGAGTGTTTAAAAAAAAAAAAGAGCTAAAATGAATAGAGAGAAATACTGTTAACTGATGGTACATGGAGGGGATTATGATCATTGTAATGAAACCAAGTATATGATTTGTTGAATGTAAAACTGGTGATCTGTCCTGTTAACTTTCACTCAATCCACAATAAAAACTTTAAAAAACACCCACTGTTGAAGGGGATTCATTGGATTTCTACAATGAGTCAGACTTAATGCTGGATGTACATGACCTCATTTATTCAAACTATGGGTGAGGTAATTGTGCAATAACTGGTTGAAGACAAAGTTGGTTCTGATTTTGCTACATTTTGTTCTTTGCACCCTACTACACAGAACCTCAAGGAACTCTGGTAACGTAGTGGTTACGAATTGGGCTGCAAACCGCAAGGTCAGCAGTTTGAAACAACCAGCTGATCTGCAGGAGAAAGATGAGGCTTTCTGCTCCCGTAAAGATTTACAGCCTCGGAAACCCTGTTCAGGGTCGCTATGGGTCGGAACCAACTCGACGGCACCTAACAACAACAACACAGAACCTCACAGGTATGCATTGCTACTTTCACCAGGCCTGTACTTTAGGCACAG